TACCCCAGTTCTGTATGCACAAATAAATAAATCTTAAAAAAAAATGCAGTAACTGTGAAGCACAATAAAGCAAATCACAATGAAGTGAGGTACACTTACCTGCCAGGTTCCTACTTTGGTGTATCCTAAAGACAAGTGAGTTTGGTGTAAATTTAAAACCTAGGTTTTCCAACCTGAAGCTACTTCAGATTAGTAAATTATTGGAATTTGTCAACTTGGAACCCAGGAATAAAAGTGAAATGGGGGTGGACAGTGAGGAGAAGATACTGAGCCACAGAGTGTGGCCTGGTGTGCTCAATCCCTGTGACCCTGGCTTTGGAATGTGACACTTTTGAGTCTGAAGCTTACTGTCACTGACTTGCATGGGATACCCAGGACAGGCTACTGAAAACCTCTCAGCTTTACCTCTCTATGGGGTGAAGTGGAACTGCTGGCAGTATCCACCCACCTTGGAGGGTGCATGCTGCAGCCATTTGGGTAGGACTAAACTTGTGATCTGTATCTGTGCCGCCAACATGGCAGCATGGGGACATGTATGGGGAGGGGGGAAGGCCTTCAAGGCCTGTAAGTGTCTCAAGTGGAAATGACAACAGAGGCACACAACTTGCCAGTTTAGACAGTAAAATGAGGTGGAAGCTAAACTGCCCCTGAGTTCTTGTCTGCTGAAGCCAGGGAAAGTCTAGGGTGGAGAGTTGACCACTTTGGGGGCACAGTTGGCAACTACCCACAAGTCTGTTAATAACGCTAGTTGGAGAGAAATAACTTAATCCAAGTCTCACAACTGTTTCACTATTTACATTAAAGAGTCAAATTTCTAGCTGAGCATGGAGTCTCTGGGACACACAGCCTAATTCCAGTTAGTCCTTTATTCTTTGAGAAAGAAGTTTTGGGTAAAATCTGTCATCTGATCTCACCTGATGACATCACTTTATACCTTCTAAACAATATACATAGAAGTGTTTAGGGAATGGCTGGCAAGTACGGAGAGAAAGTAAAGGAATTCTGTCTTCACTTTGAGGGCAAGTAGATCCACTCACATCCAGTTTTCAGCCAACCCTCTAGCCAATTATGAAAATACAGTTATTTACAAAAAGGAGAAAGAAAAATGCCCCTCATAAAGGGAGTGAAATATTCCACAAACTCTACAGTTTGTTGATATGAAGGACAGTTTGTTAAAAAAATAAAGCCATAAAGTAGGAATATAGGGAAACATCTAAATGGTCAACAGCTATAACTGTTTATAATTTGCAAGGAAGAACCCACACATCTGGTAATCACTCTTACCTCGCTGGAGGTTAAGATTTGGCGTAACTCTCTTCTGAGATCAATAAAACGATCGTGAAAAAGGGCCATGCACCACGGCTCTGTGAAGTAGCTAGTGAGGAGAGAAAAGATTCAGTTAGCTGGAAACCCTCTCATTATCACTAATAAAGTATTTACCTGCTTTTTTGCCTTTATAAATTACAGTTCTGGCCCCATTGCAATCGTTTGCTCATAAAATGCCTTGTGCAACAGCCTGGCCAATCAATTTTTTAAATGGATGTTCCTGATGTAAGGCCAGGTTCCATAATTACATTTAAAGTGGTTTAATTCAGAGCTGGGGCAAGACCCAGTGAAGAATCCTGATTTTATCAGAATTTAAAAGCCTGAAGACTTGTAAAGAACGATGTCTCCATTATCTGCCCTCGTTTGAGAAAAACAGATTGCAGGATTAACTGAACTGCTGCATAAACAAATTAAATTTGGGTAGACAATAACACAAATGTTGTTCATCATTAAGGTTTCTGGATTAATAATGACCAGAAAAACAGGCCACCTCAGTGTTGCAACATGGTCTTCGTACAAGTGCACTGATGCTTAATTGAATCTCTCTTAAGAGAGCAGATCTTCTGGTGTTTATAGTCGCTAACTTTTCATTCAAATCTGTTTAAATAAATGCTTTCTTATATGGAAATGACATGGCCAGCCTTTATTTTACAAGTGATTGGTGAAAATATGATGCGTTCTTAGAATAACTAAAATGTTGCTTGGTACTTTCACTCTTACTTTGTTTTAAGATTAAGTGTCTCAAAACAGGCAACCTGACTTCTTCAGGATAAGAGACATGTCCGGGTGGAACCTACTTTGACTCAAACAGACTGCATCTTGCCCCTAAGCTGTCATGTAGTGACTTCTGGGTAGAAAATAAGCAGACTGATTCAGCAGCCTGATCTCCCCTTATTGATGATGAGGAAAGAACACCACCATCCTGTTCCCTCCTGATTGATGACTCAGGAAGAGACAGGAATGTTATCTGCTAATTGTTATTACAGATTTCTGCCTTGAAGACTCCAATCAACCAACCCAAAAGTTTCAAACAAATGACCTAAGTATAGCTAGAGCCCCTTCCCTGGCCTGGTCCACTAAAACCCCTACATGATGAGCCTGTTGGAACACACCTGAGCAGTACCCCTTGATTCTGGATCTGAATCATGATTCCTATTCTCAAACAAACGCCTTCCTATTCCGTTAGAGGCTGGTTATTTATGTCGACATTGATTACGAGGGCTTCTCTCTTTTCAGTTTGGGAGTTTGTCCTTCCTGTTACTGAGCAGATGTCATGTGAGCATCGAGGAAGAGTGCCTTCTGTTTGGTGAGAGAGGTAAAGTGCATTCTCAGCGAAGGATGGAAGGAGTTTGAAAGTCACAGATCCATTGCAAGATTAAGAATCTGCGATACAATGAGCATGGCCTGGTGCTTTATCAGTTAGTCCCTACCACCTAGTGGCTTCACCAGAATATGGCCTACATTCGGGCTGAAAGGTTTATTTTATGTTCGGGTCATATATTCATTCATCCAACTATTAATTCCACTAAACTTCACTCCATACCCCTTATGTAGCCATACTGTTCTCAGTCTAGTGGAAACAGCAGGGACCAAAACATACATCTCTGCCACTGGAACTTACATTCAGGTGACAAATAAAATATAGCTTATGAGATGGTGAGAACTGCTTAGAAGAGAATGGAAATCAGGCCACAGACACACACCTAACACCACTGACTGAATGAAGACCTGAGGGGACAGAGGGATGTGGGCCCCATGGAGATCTAGGAGATCTAGGAAAGAGCCTTTTGGATAGAGGGAACATCCCAGTGCCTAGCCAGCTCAGGAATGCAAAAAGGGCCTCCAGGAAGGGGGGGCGGGGGAGCCAGAGAGGTGCTCAGGGCAGTGATGAAGGAGAGGGTGCTCAGGGATCTGGAGTCCAGGCAGACCTGTATTGTCATTGCTTCCTGGTTGTCTGGCCCCGTGCTGGCACACTTAGGGTACTGTAGCTGTTCACCGAGTGGTGGTGCCAGAATAGTGAAGGGGGGAGCAGATTGAGCTGTCTAATTCTGTACTGCCTGTGCCAAAGTGGTTCATTCAGACAGAATAAAATCCTGCCAAACACATAGGTGACACAACAGGTGACAAAGGCCCCGAGAGGGGCAGTCTTATGAAAGGGGGAGGCTCGTGGTAGACAGTGGGGAAGTCAGAAGGCCGAGGATGAAGAGAGGCACCTTTTGGAAATCCGTCATGTCTTGCTGGCCTCGGGGGTTACTCAAGGCCGCAGAGTCTGAGTGAATGGAGTGGAGGTGAAGAGGCACCTGACTGGGATGTAGGCTCCTATTAGCCCTAACCCACACCAGATAGCCAACACCGGGCTAAGTCCTGGAGCAAAAGTGCTCATTAGTTTGGGCTGGCTGCCTCAGGAAGCACTGCCCAGCAGGAGATGAGGTGTTTTAAATACCTGTGAAAGGAATCCTTTCTTCTGATTGAGGGGGAGGGGTGGAAAGAGCTGTACCCAAAATCTTCTTAGGAAAAGTCCTACATGTAGGGATCTTCCCCAGGCCTTATAGAAATTGCTTATTTGGATGGTGACTTTTTTTTCTTTAAAAAAAAAAGATTACTTATGCTTACAGAACTGGGGTATAGGCCAGAGATGTCAGGGGTGATAGGATTCACCAGAGACAGAATGGGGAGCAGAACAGGTAGATGCACTGAAATATACTGCTGAGGGGAGCAGCGGGCATGTCAGGAGAGGTCTGCCACGCCATGTTGGTCAGCTCCCTGGTAGGGAATCGAACTCATGCTGCAGTGGCTCTGGAGAGCTTCATAATGCTGTGCTTTAACCCGTTGTGTCACCAGGGAGAGCCCTAATGTATTTTATTTCTAAGAGCAGTTTTAGGTGGACAGAATAACCAAGAATAATCAAGCAGAAAGTACAGCGAATCCTCATATACTCTTTCCTTTCCTTATTATTAACACTAGTGAGCCACATCTGTTACAGTAGATGAACCAATGTCAATGCATTATTATTAAGTCCACAGTCTACACTGGGATTCATGTGTTGTATTGTATATTCTTTGGGTGTGACAAATGCATAATGACACATACTCACATTACAGAATCATACAGAAAAGTTTCCCTGCTCTAAAAATATGCTGCACAAATTTACATTTTAGGATATTGACTTATTAAGAGAAAAAGGAGTCATGTCACAAATTTATAGAGTATTTGAGAAACCCTATTTTTCTGTATTTCTCTCAGAAATAGTCACTTTTTCATGACAAAACACTATAACTTGCACACTTGCTAGCTGTTTTTTCCCTTAGACCAATGACTGTGTGGCTTGAGGCTTTCGTTTCCTACGGTTTGGGATCTGGGGTTCAGCTTAGAATGAAATCTACTTGAGTTTCTAGTTGCTGTAACGTGCAGGGGAGGCTTTGCTTTAGAGGGACTTTTTAAGTATAAGTATTACACCTTGCTAAACACTCCCGCATTTTAGTTATACAAACCAAACCATACATAGAGATGGGATGAGGTTTGTTCACTGAGAATTCAGAACCAGATTTCTTATGGACACAGAGGCCATTATATGCTAAATGTCCTCATTCAAAAGACCTCTCACGTGGGCAAAGGCATCTCAGTAGCGGGCAGCCTGGACCTTTTCCTTCCAGCAGGTGCCAAGTTATTTTATTCAACCTTGAGCACATTAAATTCCATTTTGGAAAAATATGAAATGGGCTTGGCTTGCATTATAGTTCCTGTTTGATCCTACATGGGAAGAACAATGCGCAAACCTCAATGGCAAAGGACACCCAAACTACTAAGTTGTGGAGCTTCTGATGTCCTTCCTCCATGGGGAGTAGGGGGTATAGAGGCTGGGGTGGGGGTTCTGGACAGGGGTGAAGCTAATGGAGATCAAGTCAGGGGCACAGGCTAAGTGCTTCTAGCTTAGAATTCTCCTGCCCTGCACCCTGGCTCCCTCTGCCACCTCCTCCCTGCAGATGTTCTAAGATTGTCACTTGTCCCCTCCAAAAGCCCTCCACCAATGACCCATGCACCTGAAAGACTTTGTCCGTGAGATCTTGGATAATGGTCAGAAGACACTTTCCCACAGCTGCATCTTCTCTAGCACCATCCAGTGTCCAATGCCAACACCAAACTCTTCCTTGAAGCTACCCCCGACCTGAGTGCTTGCACTCACTTCTCTACGCTGTTTCCACTGCTCGGGGCACTCTGGCCTGCAGGAGAGCCTTCCTGGCTCCTGTCTTGCTCTGTTAAGCACTGCGCACTCTGTGTCCACACAGCATCAGGGACTGGTCCTCTGAAGCCTGAAGGGACGGGTGGGGCCCAGCTTCTAGCCCTAGGGTGAGGGCAGGGGTCAGAGGAGAATGCTTTTCTCTCCTCTCGAGGGGAGGGAAGTAACCCCATTTAGGGGAAGGCCCGAGGTCCTCCTCTGAGTTACCCAAGAAACATGGAAGCCTTCTTTATTAAAATTAGAAAACCTCTAATTTAACAAAACTCATTTTGCAACTGATTGTGAGATTGAGTCAAAGATGATCTCCTTTTGCTGATGTAAAGATGGTAGAAAGACATTTTACTTGATGAAAAGTTTGCGGTCTAGACTTCTCCTGCAATTGGATGACTTCTGTGCTTTAGTTTCTGTCCTCCATGGGAGAAAGAAAAGCACCTGGGATCCTTGCCCAGGTGGGTGCAGGGGGGTCAGGTCTGCAAACAGCTCTGTGTGTTCTGGATGATTAGAATGAGTGGTGACCTTTCATGAAAATGTAAGTTTCATGAATATTGTTAATTTTTTAAAAAACCATAGAAAATATTAACTTCCTTCTCAAGTCATATTCAAAAAGGGGAGACAAACAGGAATCACTAAGTACCTTCCTAGGTGGCCACCTAGAAATCTTCTGGAGAGAAGTTCAGGTAAGAAATAAATGTGTGGATATTACAAAAACCCTCTCTATGGGAGAAAAAGTTCACACAATCCCCAGGGTCCAAATAGAAGGCACTATTGGCTCTGTTCACTTTGCCAGTGGCTGGCCTGTGAGGAATTAAATT